TCCATTTTTCGTCACCTGTTACTATGTCCCACACCAAATTTGACGCCCCTTCGTAGAATCTGGTAAGCATACCAACCAAGTGACGCGATCCGTTTTTTGAGCCTCAGTCAAATTGTGTGGGGTCTACCGAGAGCAGAGCTTTTTCACACCCAAATGTTTGTGTACTATTGATTGTATTTGACTCATGCCTGTGCCTAAAGATGTCCGAATCTTATAGTATGCCACATGCCTGTCTATTTTGATCATACGGCGCACAGCATCGATGTTTTTGTTGTTCATAGCAGTGGACGGGCAACCATCACGAAATTCGTCACTGAGATTCACACGACCGCGTTTGAATTCTGCATATTAATATCCAGCTATAAATAGTCATCTTGCTTGGTGCTTCATCGCCAAAAGTAGTTTGAAGCCGAGCGAAGCTCCGCTGAGCTGTTAAATTACACTTAAAGTCGTAGAAAATCATACTATAAAAATTTTCACGAGTTAAATCCATGGTGATGTAGACCACCAATTTCTAAAATGACGCCACAATGTAAAAACAAGTGACAGTCAGATGAAATAAACTGTATTCTACAGCCAAAGAGTTCCATTTTCAAATTACTTTTTAAATATAGTTTATGTAAGTGGCCAGTTCCGGAAACTTATAGTGCGCTCTATGTATCAGTGGCTAAAATGTCAAATATTGACTTTTGTTTTTACTCAGGCAAACTATTCAGATTCCTTTAGATATCTCCAGAATCTCCGCAGTTTTATCGCACACTCGCACAAATACCAATATTCATTTAGTAGTCAGGTTTGGAATATATGCTTGTAGACATTGAATACCATAACCTTTTCAGTTACGAACATTGCGGGCGTAGTCTTTTTTTGCCTCCATAATGGTTATGTTCACACGAACGCAAGCAAACACAAACGTAATAACAGAGTAAAACCAAAACTCAACAAAAAAAAACACAAAACGGAAACTGAACAATTAAAATTAAAAACTCAACAACATGACGCATATGCAGCATGAAGAAAGAAACCGAATGAAGAAAGAAAATCGTGGTTTTGCACTGGTGCGGATGCAACCCGACAACCTATCCCGTTATCCATCTCTATCGATCAAAAACTGAGTTTTCATTATTTAACTCATTATAATTAACAGTATTTAGTAATGAACCAATTTATTAGTTCAATTTTATTTTATAAAATAAAATTAAAATAAAAATCTTTTATTTTCAGACACCATAGGTCCATGGTTTGTTAGTAAGCAACCTTATACTGTATTAGTAACAAATGACTGTATGGTGTATTGTATATGAAGAAATAAAAAAGATATTTAATTTAATGAAGTATTGAAGTAATAGTATTACAGCAATAAATTATTCACGCTCCTGCTTAAAAGTGTTTGTGTTTACATATAACAAATAAAAAAAATCGAATAAACAAAAAGGACAGCCAAAGGTTGTTTATCCCCGAAACATTGCCAATAGAATAAACAATCTTTCCGCAGGAAATAGTTTTTTGAGATTATGTTATTAAATACAGTGTTTCAAATAAAAAATATGATTTGATAATATTTTGTTAGTACATGAACAAGATTTAAAAACAATATAAAACATCTTGCATTCATTTTACATGCACACAATTTAAAAACAATATAAACATCTTGCATTAATTTTTAGCCTTTTACCACTCTTCCACTATTCGTAAAATATTTTTTTGCAGGGGCATTACCTTTGTTTACATTTTTCGACTTTGATTTCATCTCAGAGTTTAGCATGTAAATAAACTACTTAGTATCAACAATACATTCTGACTATATTCTTTTTATCGGAAATGAAAAAAAAATTTGAACAAATTTATCTCCGGTATTTGAATTTGCTGCTTATACCGTTCTGTTTTCCTACAGTTTCTTCAATTCTGACTCCTATGATGTTTCACTTCCCCAATCATTACTTAGCTCATAATTATAAATTAAATCATGTGTCAGGTGCCATATTATAATGGTGATATAGTAATAGCAATAGATCACGCTTTGTAGTCACTGAATCAGCCGAAGCATTTAAATGTTAATTTCAATATCATTGGTGATAGGAAAGCAAGGTTAAATTTAAAAGGCAGACATGACGGAAAAAAATACAACCAGTTTCGAAATGTAATAGGTATAATTCTATTTTGTTGTAGTTCTGTATGCAGAACTAGCCCTGGGGAGGTTAGGTATAGACTTTTGTTCGAATAGCACCTCCAGTACAACGGAACAAGAACCGTCAATGTGTTGCTTGATATGCTGCCGTCTATACCAGGGTTGTTGCTGATGCAGGTTTTTTACACATCAGCGGATGTTGATTTTATGTATTTAAAAAAGCGCGAAAAATATATATTCTCACTTAATCTATGTGCAAAGCTTTCTTTTTTTTTGGTGTTGTAATAAAATATTATTTCAATAATTTTGCGACATTTATATTATTAACAATAAGCATGAAAACAATCAATCTGCCTAGTTTAACTGTTGTTGAGTTTTATCAAAGTTATATTCTAAAACAACAGTTGAGCTCACGCTGATTTTTGGCCTAACAGTCTGTTTCTGGAAGGTTTGTAAATCATTCCAGCGTGCATTTTAGGTCACGACTCGAACATCCACATTGATATCAGCATCGATGAATGCGGATGCGTATATTTTAATTCATGCAGATTATCACCGTACGCTGATGCGGGTGCTGATATTCGCAACAACCCTGGTCTGTACAATCACTTTCTATCTAGGTTATCTAAAATTAATCTCGATACTAATAAGAAAGAAAATAAAAAAGAAGGTAATAATAATAATAACAACGCACATACTCAACATAGCCACACAATAGGGAAACCCTGTGTCGCGAGTGCCATGGACACACACAGACAACCACAAATTACACCCAAACTCACGAGAGAAATAAATGTAGGCCATACAAATATTTCTCCCGACTCGGCAATCGAACCTGGGCCACCTTGGGCCACGTAGGCAATTAGTAATCATTAGAACGTCGTAACTTCCACAATTCAGTAATTTTTGGCAAAATTTTATCTACTTTCACAATCTATAGATAAAATTATCGATAGCAAGTACATAATTATTTAAAATTTTATGAAAACTGGCAACCCTACAAATGTTATTTTACTCCGACTTCAAAAAAGACGGATTATACAAAAGCAAAGTTTTTTCTGGGAAATAAAGTTTTTTCATGTTTTTATTATAGAACCAATTAGAAAATGATACTGATAGTGATAACCCAGAAACAAAATTCGTGTTACATGGTGATAAAACAATATGATGTTTTACTACTAAAATACTTGCTAAGTAACAAATCACAAGAACAATATTGGAACTAATTGATTACACTAGAAAATACTGATGTAATGCATTTGCGACCTTGCCGCGACATTATCGATCCGGTTTCGCCACGACATTTTCGTCGATGTATTTGGTCGCTACGTCCTCGTACTCCCTACGCTTCCGCCAGGGTTCGGCCACACGGTTGAGCTATACATCACAGTTAGTATACGCAGTAGAATATGTGTGCATGTCTCCCGTTTAAAGATAAACAGTTACCTGTGCTACTCTACTACTCTATAAAATTAAAATAAATAGATAAAAAACCTGTGCTACTCTACTACTCTATAAAATTAAAATAAATAGATAAAAAATAAATACCCTCGCACAGAGGTATCATTTTCCCCTCTGTGTAACATCCCGATCCTTATAAGAGCGAAAATCTCGCGTTTTCAATTACTAATACAAAAATGAAGTAGTTTTTCTGTGTTCGATCTTTGTATTAATAATTATAACAAACTGGTGGAGTAATTTCACAAAACGAATTGAATATCATGCTATAGTCTATTAAAGTTAGCGACCTAATATAGGCTTCTCTCTTTCGCACTACTTCATAAAAATGACAAGGATATAAGATGGAGGCACAAGGTTAAGTGGGCGTTAACAAGAGTTAAAATAGCAAAGGCTCATGCATAAAATGTTTAAAAATAAAACAATAATTTTTTTGTACGTTTCTATTATAATTCTTTTCACCAATTTCACGTTTTACGTCAGTAATGTCTTAAACCGAGTCACAGTAAGAAGTTTCATACATTTTAATGGCTATTTTACGGAACTTCTCTTTTTAATGTAGTGAAAGTATTGTCTTCAATGTGAGATGTATCGATAAGAAGCTGTAGGTTCCTATCATCTGCCATCATTCAATGAATTGTAATGAGAAGTAATATGTACAGGGTTTTTGTAAAATATTAACAATCTCGCAGATCTAACATCATAAACAACAATTTTTGGTCCACGACTGTTGACAAAATATAATTGTTAATACAAAGATCGAACTCCAAGAAAAAAGTTCTTCGATCCGGCTACATTCGAACCAGCTTCTCCCAGCAAACCGTGCCAGACGCTATGCCAACTAAGCTACGGAACGAACTAGCGGACCTTACGAACTTGTCTATGTGCTTGTTGCAGATCTTTGTTTTGATTTTATAACTACTTTTTTAAAATAGATTTCTCACAGATGTCTCTACGGCAAAAAAGTCGTTAAAAACCAAAAAGAAAGATGGCCGAGTGTGCACGGGAGGCGAGTGAGGCAAGTAGCGAGCGCGAGCCATTCCCGCAGTTTGTCGCTTGGGCGCGGTCTCTCGTTGTGGTCGCGTTGAGTAGCCGCAACCAATGGGCTCGCAAATTTGATGGGCTCTAATACACTTTTTAACCGACTTCAAAAAAGGAGGTTCTCAATTCGACTGTGTTTTTTTTGTATGTATGTCACGATATTGATGATTCTTTTTTTTGTTAGAAAGTTGGTACCTCAGAAGTGGCCCCATTTAAATTTGAAGAAAATATTCGACCTCTAAGGGTGGTAAACTAAACTAAAATGAATGACTTTTGAGGTAGGTTTTTTAGTACTCTGTACCGAGGTTAGGATAGGTTATAATTCTTTGATTCTGCATTAGCTTGCATTAATTTCTTTACTATTTGTTTCCAGATGGCTGACTCTAGAAAACAACCTAATAGACTCTCTACCAAACACGATGGACAAAATGGAGGCGTTAGTACATTGTAACTTGAGAAATAACCGTTTAAGAGAGTTTCCTGCAAGTGTGCTTCAATGTCCCGACCTTATGTTCTTGCAGTTGAATAATAACCTGGTAAGTTTCAGGAAAGACTAGGCTACCCTAAAAGCGCAAAAATACAATCGAGCTCCAGAACCCCTTAGTGCTTTAAGTTTTTGAACAACTTATCGAGTGAGATTTATTAGGTTTTAAAACTTATCTTCTAAATACACTCGAACAAATATGTTACCGTAGTAAAATACGTGCTAGTTATGAAATTTCTAATGAAATAAACGTGTTTTGAATTTGAACTTTCGCAGATAACCAGCTTGTCTGTAAACTTCGACACCAGTTTCCTCGCCATGTTAGAGATGATAGACTTACGGATGAACCCCATCTGTGAATTACAACATCCAGTAAGTGCTTAACTTTATTTATTTGGACAGTCTTGCGTATGATAAGCAAGAGCTGAATAAAATTTTTCGTCCTTCGGGACAGTCTAACGGCGGTTTTCCACCGGCGAGGCGAGACGAGACGAGAGGAGACGAGAATTAAAATCTCACCGGCCTATTTCCACCAAAAATTGCCATTAATAGCTGATTGTGGATAGTCAAGATTTAGTGCTCTTCATCTAGCTATAAATTAGCAGCTGAAGTAACATGTCCCGTAAATTATTATTATTATATATCTTAACGGAAGAAGAATCAGTTGAAACCGTCTTTTTTTAAATCTCAAATCGTATGTACCCCTCAATCTCGCGATTGATATTAATACCCAACGCGAGCTCGCGCGAAACCATGCGAGATCGCGCGAGAAATCAGTGTTCGTATAATACTCTATGTTGGCAGCAATACGGTTCAATATTACGAGTACATCAACAAATATTTCGATTCTCGCCTCGCCCATCCTCGTCAATCCACACTTTTTCCACCTAAGATGCGCGAGGAGAAAATTAAAATTTTGCCATACAAATTTCTATTCTCGTCTCGTCTCGTTTCGCCTCGCGGGTACTTATTTGCGCGCTTGCGTGTATGCTAGGGCTTTCATCCCAAGAATCTCGGTCTCGAAAATTTGGAGTCTCGACAATTTTTTGGCATTTTCGAAACCCGAGACTGAAGTTTTTCAATCTTAATTAAAAAGTATTAAAAATCTACACAGTATTTTTTTGTTGTGGTCACATGGGTATAGCAACACTATGTGTAAAATATAAAATTTGTAAAATGGAGCTAAGTATAGTGTATGGAGATGGAAGAACGGTTGTAATAAAATCAGTATACAGATACTGACTTTAAACCTTAAAACCTTAAAACTTTAAACCGCCTTTGCTTCTTGCGTAACAATAATATAAATTAAAAAATAACTCGAGTTCTTAGGTTTTCGCGATTGTTATACATAGGAATGAAACTATTTTTCCGGATTTAAATCGCGTATATTTGTTTTTTCAAAAAATATTTGTAACGTTGAGGATTGTCTAGTTAAAAACAACTTGAGAAAGGAAGATTTGGAGGCAATACGCCAAGACGTTTCGTCGATATTGCGCTCAAATAAACAGCCCAGACCGAATCTTACTCGAGATGAATATAACGCGCTGAAGACCTTCCGCGAAGATCCTGAATTAGTCATCCTCCGTGCAGATAAAGGTAACGCGACGGTGGTCATGAATACGTCAGATTATAACAGCAAAATAACTGACTTACTATCGGATGAAAGCACTTATAAAAAGGTGAAGAAAGACCCTACCACCAAGATATTAAAAACAACAACTAACTTAATATCTAAGCACTCCGATACGCTGAAACTTGATGTAAGTGCGTTTGTGCCCTGCGCCGTGAAACCACCAAAACTGTATGGGTTACCAAAAATACATAAGGCTGACACCCCACTCCGTCCCATAGTTAGCCAGATTGACACACCAACCTACAAACTGGCTCAACACATGGCAAAGGTACTGTCACCATTGAGAGGGAACACTTCCACACATGTGAAGGATTCATACCATTTCATCAGTGGAATCAAAGATCTACGGTTAACTGATGATGACACCATGGTCAGTTTTGATGTTCAATCGCTGTTTACCAACCTACCAGTAAAAGACTGCATTGAAATTGTACGTAGGAAGCTGAGGGAACATAATATGTCCATTGAATATGCAGAATTATTAGAACACTGCCTAACATCAGGCTATCTATTGTGGAATAATGAATTCTACCTACAAATTGACGGTATAGCGATGGGCTCCCCGGTATCTCCCGTTGTTGCCGATATTTTCATGGAAGACTTCGAGGAGCGAGTTTTACCCATGGCCCCAGCTAGGCCGAAGATTTTCAAACGGTACATTGATGATACTTTCACAATATTACCTAAAGATAGCATACCTTCTTTCTTGGACCATCTTAATTCTTTTAGTACTAAGATCCAATTTACTATGGAACAAGAGAATTGTGGTACTTTAGCTTTCTTAGATGTTTTAATTAAAAGAAATCCTAATAACACCTTAGGCCATACTGTATTTCGAAAGAAAACCCATACAGATAGGTACCTCAATGGTAATTCCCATCACCATCCTAGCCAGTTAGCTACCGTGGGCAAATCTTTGTTTCAGAGAGCATATGGTGTCTGCGACAGTAATCATCTGGCGGGGGAACTTCAGCATATAAAGCAAGTCCTACATGCGAATAAGTTGAGGATTCCACGCCAATGCCGCAGACCCCGTGTGAAACCACCAACAGTCGAGCGAAGACCTGCCATCTTACCTTACGTGAGAGGTGTTACAGACAAGATCGGAAGAGTCCTCAGGCGCGCATCTATCAAGACCTATTTCAAGCCCCTGAGGAAGATTTCTCAGTTCCTGAGACCCGTGAAATGTAACATCCCCTTACAGGATGCAGGAGTTTACAAGCTTGACTGTGAGTGCGGTCTCTCTTATATTGGACAAACAAAGCGAAGTATTTGTACCCGCGTCAAAGAACATATAGCTGATGTCAAACACCGTCGCGTAAACAAGTCTGCAGTCTGCGAGCATGTCATGGATAAACCTACACATTCAATGAAGTTTGACAAACCCCAGGTCCTTGCAAAAGAAGTCCGTTATCTGCCCAGGATGCTGCGAGAGGCCATTGAAATTAAAAAACATCCTAATTTCAACAGGGAAGATGGTTTCTCCGTACCACCAGTTTGGGATCCAGTATTTCCTCTAATGAAAAATCCCAAACAGACATAAGACTGCAGTACTAATTAATATGTTTTAATATGTTTTGATTTATTCTAATTTCTATTAATAATTAATAATAAATTAAACTTAATAAAAAATTCATTCAATAAAATAATTTGTAAAACTTAATGTAGCGTAAATTGGAATGTTTTCTTTGTAAAATTAAAAATAAGGTATTTAATTAATAACTATTGTAACTATAGTGAAAAAATAGGGTGGTTTGCATCAATATTAGACATAACTGGTTGAAGACTGTACCACCTCAGTCAACCGTGACCATGGGACCTGTAAAGGGCCCGAAACGTCGGTTTGTTTGAAAAAACAAATATACGCGATTTAAATCCGGAAAAATAGTTTCATTCCTATAAAAAATAACTTTCATAAATATTTTTTTGTTTTTTCGTTTGAGTTAATAAAGAACTTTGTCTTAACTGCCGAGACTACAAGTATGAAAACCTATTTTTGGAGTAGTCTCGAAAGTCTCGTTTTCCCGGGATTTTCGAGACCGCACTGAGTTTTGATATTTTTCCCGGGACGCGGAAATGCTTATTGCGTTTATACAAAAACACACATACACAGAAGCAAAAAATAAAATAGTAACGTTTGTATAAAAATGAATAAGTATTACACATAAAGTATAAATTAACATTCTAAATTTAAAAAAATTAAATAAAAGTGCATTTTTGTTTTACATTTTATGACAAAGTAATGGCTGCAAATTAAAAAAAATTGTAACAGTTAACGTTGCTTATAAAATAAAAGTTTTTTAAATGAAACATCTTTTTCACCTAAAAACGAAATGGTAATTCAACCTTGAACCACTCGACAAACCTGTATTAAGTAGGAAATTAAAACAAATGAATGAAAAAAATTACCATCGACAATTTTTTTGTTTTCAAATGAGACCTAAAAAAAAGTAAATTTAGGGATTTTACTACGCTTCCGCCAAAATGTGCTGGTGAGACTTCTAAAAAAGGAGGTTTTAAATTTGACTGTACTTTTTTGCGTGTATGTTACACGACTACTTTTTGCGAACCAATTTCGACGATACTTTTTTAGTTGCAAAGCGAGTAGTGGTCCCATTTAAATTTGAAGAAAATATTTAGCCTGGAAGGGTGGCAACACATTAAGGGATCAATCCGGTTTATTGGACTTCACACACTGTCTTTCCGTTAACCGATTTTAATAAAACTTGGCAAATAAGTAGATGCATTTCCACAAACTCTTAAGGTTTTTTTTAATAAGAAAAGTTATAATTATAATTTTTAATACAACGATCGAACGATCCGGCCGGATTCGAAGGAATTTTTTCTGAGTGTTCGGTCTTTGTATTAATAATTATAACAAACTAGTGGAGTAATGTCACATAAAAAATAATTGAATATCAATTCAATAAAAATTAAATACCGTGAATAGCGACATCTCTAGCCGGGGCTGGTAGCTGTGAAAGTATCTAACTGAGTGTGTGCGTTATTATAATTATAACAAACTAGTGCAGTAATTTCACATAAAAAATAATTGAATACTGATTCAATGAAAATTAAAGTTATAATTATATTTTATTAGTTTTTAATGTTCTTTGTATGTTTTTAAAATCCGTCAAATAAATAAAATGTTTATTTCAGTAATACAATTAACTTTACATTAACAGTAGATGGTACCTCCTATTAAGCTTATCAAGCTTGTGCAAGAGCGGTGCCTCCACCGCTCTTCCATAGCTATAATTGCATATTTAACATTTTTAGCTTATCCTTAATTTAGTGTTTAATTTTTACATTTCCAAACATCGTCAAAACAAAACAAACAATTCTTTTTTTAATTTTCTGCTTTACTTAACTTCTAATTTTGAATTTAATTTAGATCTTAAAACGTATGTGTGTTCCTTTGGTATATGAAAAAGTGTGTGTTTGTATGTGTGCGTATGCGTGTGCGTGCGTGCGTGTCAAGTTAGTGCACAATGTTCTTCCAGGGCATACTGACCTCGTCTTAGGACTAGAGGGCGTTTAAACGAAAAGCACTTAAAAAGTTTGCTTTTTAAAATAAACACTTAGGCACGCTTTTTATTTTAAGCTTTACGCATTGGTCAGTTCTACACTCAAAAATTTTTTTTACAACGTGTCTCAGTTTCAAGTCCCACCATTTATGTTTTCTAAACAAATTAATACGTCAATGTGAATAATAATTTTATGATTAAAAATAAAACTCGTGTTTTACAAATAAACGTACTTAAAACCTTTAATGGTCCACTCTTGCTTTTCGCTATAAACACAACCGTTGCAAGCTTTTTTAACACAAAAATCTATGCGCTTAGCCGTTTTTCTAAACGATTTTTTAAGCTTCAAACTAAAAAGCGAAGTGACGGGCATCTTAAAAAACACCCTTTTAAAAAAGCTACAACGCTTAAACGTTTAAAAAAATAATCTGTTTTTCCCGTCTGTAGTTAGGACAGATACAGCAACAGTGACATTTTTAATATTCCAGGAGCATCCCCTAGTTCGTTACGCAGAAGAAATGCCGACCAGCGACACAGACCTCTCCTCGCAAGCATCAACCTCACACTTGCAGGGTCAACCGGCTGTGGGAGTTGCTCAAGCTTTAGCTATTAATGCTACCGCGTTAAGACTGCCTGCTGTGCCACAAAGGCATCCGAATCAGGAACCTTTAGTCGTTGGTAAGTAATTTGTATCAGATGCGGACGCGAATGCTAATTTTTCATCGTTGAAAATGTGTGAAAAAAAATTTTTTTTTTAGAATGAATGGAATTTAGTGACCATTGAATTGTCATTCAAAAATACATAAAATAGGCTTTATTTGACATGCAAAATACATAAATTTCAAACAAAACAAGAAAAAATTCAACTTTAAGTAAAAAAAAAGAAGATACGTTTCTTTTTTTACTTAAAGTTGAATTTATTATTTTTTTCGGGTCCATGACTGTATCTGTATCTGTAGACTTTGCTATTTACGTAGCCCTCGCTGTTATTCTGTCATGGCCCGTCATAAATTGGAACACCACAATGTACTGACTTTCGGCATTCGTCGCCGCTTTTTGAATTAATTTTTTTTACGACGCATGTAACATATACAGGGTGTCCCGAAACTCGACGATAGCCTGGGAACAGAATGTTGCCTAGTTTGTAACAACCCAGAAAAAAATATTTTAAAAATCGGAGTAATTTTTTTGTGATATAAGCATTTTAATGAAAAATGTTGAAAATGTACGGCCTGTACACCATTTCTAAGTACTAAAATTACAAATTTGCTAATTTTGCTGCTCTAGTTTTTGTAACCGTAACCCAATAGCCCAACTAATGAACAGAATGCTAAAGAAAGCCCGAATTGCTAAAGTTTCAGCACAAAACATATTGTATTTCATTTTTTCTCCAAATTTTTAGCAGATTTTTTTTAAAGGTGACTGACTCTCCATACTGTAAAAAAAAATGTACCTAGACTGCCATGGCAACTTCTTACAAAAGTTGGCGCAACTAATCAAGATTCTAAAGTGATATAAAATCTTCTACGTCATGTTTCTTGGAAAAAAATAATCTTGGCTTTTTCTAAAAAGAGGGCAATTTAAAAAGGTCACCTTTTCTAAGGTTAATTTAGGTTTCATATCCATGTAGTCGGAGTTAGACTGACTGACAAAAATGGTAAATATGATTGAATGAGGCAAACAGTCTCAAAATTCCACATTTCTCGACAGATATAGGAATTTAAATAAAACTAATTAATAAATTATTGTAATTTTATTACAGACTACAGTAAGTGCTCAAACTGTTTTCCACCGGCATCAATACATGCACGGCAACTCTTTAAAAATAACCCTTTCACCAATCGTGCACATCGTCGTAAATTTATCTGTTGTACAGCTTCCGCGATTCTTCGTCGTAATTCGGCAACGTTTGATATCGGTTTTGCATAAACTTTTTCTTTCAGACAACCCCTGTAAAATAGTCTAGGGGCTTCAAATCTGGAGAACGGGGCGGCCATAAAATTGGACGTCTTCCAGTGGATCTGATACCCCGTTCTACGTTTAACGTTCTATAAGTTCAGGGTCCTCACCCCGTAAAAAAAATGTTAACTTGTTTCAGAAATGGAAATGGATGCATCGTCAATAGAGTCGTCAGAAGATTGGGAGAACAGCGTGAACAGCTCTGAATTGGACGTGCAATACCAAAGCGACGAAGAGCGAGCTGATAATGAGGTGAGTTTTAAGGTGTTAAGAAATGAGGTTATAGAGGAGCTGCAAGGTCATCTACTCATTATCGCTTCTTGAGGATCAACGTAAAGGCCATACATGTTTTTAGTACCAGTTCAGCTTCCTGTGAAAATGTTCGTCCAGGGAAATAACTGCCACTTTACCTATTTCTGCCGACAAGCAGTAATGTGATCATTACTGTGTTCCAGTTTTGAAGGGTAAGTAAGGGTGCTGGTGAAATTACAGGCACATGGGACTTGTCAACTCAGGGTGACGGGCGCTGTGGCAGTGCCCCTCAGGTCTTTGTGATCCGAAAACTGACTTCCATAACTTTGGGATGTGGAATCACAGTGCAAAGTGGAAGCGTGTCTTCAATCCAGTGGAAATTACTTTGAAGGGTGCCACGAGCCGGATTATGAATAACAGACGAAGGTCAGATACTTTTGGGACAGACCTCAGATGTGCCTTTCGGTGAAGGAAAACGTGATGGAACCTGAACGTCGAAGAAGGTTCTCTACCCCCGGAATATGGCCTAAACCGTCGCCTGAGAGGAGACTGTGTCCAACAGTAAGACGGGATGATTTAAAATACGTTAACCTGTGTGTTTTCTTTTGTCCAACCTTTTCCCATTCCTGAATCCTCTCTAGTGTTCCACCAACCGGACGGTATTGTAAACACGCTAAGATTAGATCGCACAATTTTTTCAGGCCGTCGGAATGGTACTGCCAGAACTTTCCCGATACGCTTCAACGGCCAGTTGAGCTGACGACATTGCGCTCATGTCTGGTAACACCGATTGCACACCTGGTAACACCAGCCGAAGACCTAGGAATATCAGCCTCAAATCTTTAAATAATGACGGTAAACCTGGTAACATAAACTACGAATCTGGTAACACTGGCTACATACTTGGTAATGTCAAAAGTTCACCTATTAACACCTATAGCACACTTTGTGATGCCACGGGAAATTAAGCAACGTCAGTCTTACTTTACCAGACAAAGTTAATAGCGCCATCGGCCTTGTACTTGGAAAACGCAAATCTGGTCATATCAACCTCGGCCACCGTCGCACCTATAGCACATGTGGTCACAAGTGCTGCAAAGGCTGTACACCTGGCACAATCGAATACACTCGTAATAAGTTCACACCTGGTAAAACCGACGTTGCAGTCGACACCACATCTTGTCCATTCAGACCTGTTGATACCCTCAGCTATCCTGCCGACCTGATTACATTACGCGCATACTTGGTATCAAAAAGTGCCCAAATTGGACACACCAAATGCATTACTGCTAATCTTGAGGTCGTACGGTAACAACAACTACACACTTGGCAACACTAGCATCATCAACAGCATATGCGGCAAGACAAAATACAGGCATGTCAACATACAAGTGCATAACTGGTAACACTGAGCACGTATCTGGTAATAATAACTATACCCCTGGCAATACCAACCTCGCGACTGGCAACACCGGGTATGTACTTGATAAACACAATCAAAACAATAATGACCGTATACCTGGTAATACAAAATTCACACGCAGTAACACTAACTGCACACGCAGTAACACTAACTGCACACTTGGTAACATCAAAAAATTACCTAATAACGCATACAGCAAACTTTGTGATGTCACTGGAAAATATAGCAAAATCAGGCTTACCTTACTAGACAAAGCCAATTGCACCTTCGGCCGTATACTTAGAAATTGCAGATCTGGTCACATCAACCGCACCCATGGTCATACCGATTGCACGTCTAGTGACATCACTCAAAAATCCAACTATTCCCCTCCCATTCACGAGCACTGCAGAGGCTGTACACCTGGCACAATCGAATACGCAATTGATTTGTTGACACCCGGTAAAGCCAGTATATCAGTCGACACGATACCTAGCTCATTCAAACCTGTTCATATCATTAGCTATCCTAGTAACATCAACGGTCGATCTGGTTACCTTATGCTCATATCTGGTATCAAAAAATGCACTTCTAGAAACACTAAATGTGAATGCATTACTTGTAAAATTGAGTTCATAACTGATAACGACTACTGCACACCTGGCCAATATTAACAACACGTCAGCAACACAAATCGCAACACCACAACATCAACACCACACTAACAATGCATATCTTAATTTGTACTGATTTATTGCAGCACTTTGGTGTTCAAATTAAATTATTACTTTTATGTCAAATACTTACCGTCTAGTAAGTATAGTTTTTTTTCCCGTAAGCTCTAGACATTAGAAATGTTGAAAATTGAATACAAAAACACATGCTCCACAGTCTTAAAAAAATCAATCAGCTTTTCAATAATAAGTAATTTTGTCAAAGCAAAAACTTCAAAATTGAACTGCACTAATTCAATTTGTTATTGTGTAAAAACAATTCAATATCTGTTAAAACTTTGCATAATAAAAAACGTGACAACTAGACTAAGAATATTTAATATAAATATTATAATAACTAATTATTGATACTATACCATAAAATGTTCAAATAATCACCACGTTCAGAGTATTCATTGAGTTCATTTTGTCGCAACTTTAAAACGTGTTTGAGGGATTAATACATATAAAAAAATGAGTTTGAAACTACAGAAAGGCAAACGGTACCCGAAACAAACTACACACAACAAAAGTGGCCATGGATGTGTCATGTTTTTGTGGCATGTTTTTACCAATTATATTAGGTTTTTTAATTATTCTTTTTTAACACCTTGAGATTTTTTCGGTCAATTTTATAATTTGAATTTAAAAATTAAATTGACTTAAACAAATTCCATTGGTGTTAAATAAATTCAGTAAATATCAGATTTTCAGTAATTAGCAAAAACATGCTTAATCCCTTTGACCCTTTTGATATGTGTACATGCAAAGAAAAAGTGTTTTAATTTTAGAACTTGTACAAAGTTGACAGCCAACTAAAATAGCACCTTCTGCGCAGCGCCTTAAATAATGTAGACGACAAAATACCGCCATCAAAAAATGTTCATGTTTAAAAAAAATTACAGTACATAGATAAGAAAATAATATACCAACTTCGTCCACATCTTTACGTCCTTGCCTTACGGTCAGATCGTGTACAAATGTAAGTTAATCTCGATTTTAGGTAAAAGATTTTTTTGTAAATATTTATTGGAGTCGATAATCTGTCTCATGCTGTATAGCCATGCCACCGTATTTTTTATTACGATATTATATAATATAATAATAATAATAATAATTTATTTATTGTTCCTCACTGTAATGTACGGCTAACGTACGTGGTGTACATGTATTTTTTGTGAATGTACTACTATTTGTTGTTGCTACGGAGAATTCTTTGTAGCCATGCCACCTATTAACAATACTTGTAAACGCAATTTTAGCTATTTTTCTGAATTTAGCCAATGTACAAACGCTGTGTATTATGTACATATAAAAAAATAGGCGAAATGTAAGTTCAGCAGAACGAACTTACATTTCGCCTATTTTAATACTACATTTTAATTGTCAAAAAAGGATGGCGAAATCTGCCCCAATAACGACGAGAGCCGTTCATGGACTTTGGTATAATTTTACGTTTTAGTTTATGCCTAGTTATTAATATACTCCCGGACACGTAATTCGAGCCACCTAGCATTTTCAATATTAAATGCCCTTAGCTTAAACAATGCTTGATTGATCACGAACTATTATATAACTTTGAAATTGGTATACCAAACGTTATTTCCTTAGGTCCTTATTGAAAATTAGAATTTAAAAAACCGGAGAAAACTTTTTCTTCGACGATAACTATGTTTTCATATTCTTGCCCTTTAAGGATAAAAATGCAAGGTGGCTCGAATTATGTGTCCGGGAATGTGAATATTTATGTATATTTTTAGAAGTCGGGAGTAAAGAAATTGCAAAACAATTTACTATTGAAGTCCACACATAAAACATTAAAGCTATAAAATACCTAATGAAATAATAAATTAAACAGATGACTGTTTAATTTATTATTTCATTAGGTAGGATATATTTTTAGCTTTAAGTCATGAGACTTAAAGCTAAAAATAAACACAATGTAACAAAAATATTTAGACAATATTTAAAAGAGATAATGAAAGTTGCAAAGGAACGTTTTGAGAAGAGGCCTCTTGTCAATGTCACATTGATATTGAGAACAGTGTGACCATTTGTGGCAGATTTCTGCCATTTGGGCAGATTTAATTTTTATTCATTTGCATTGCTGCAAAACATAACAAGTTATATTAAATGTGGCAGAGTTTGGCAAATTTGAGAATATTCGGGAAGTTCTGTATTATTTTTGTGAACAAACTGAAAACTTGTTGTTTTCTGCTACTACGAACAAACATCTGAAGCGAAATAAAGGACAATGTTATAAACATAACCAATATCAACTTTAAGCTTTTACAGGCTTCAATAAGCTATTTTGATGCTTTGATAATGAATCACAAGTATTGATAGGTCTCCTTAATGCACGTCGTCAAAAACACTGGGTCACAAAATACACGGGATATCGCCATCCTTCTTTATAATAATGAAACGCCTTCATATTCACTCTTACAAAATATTGCACAACTATTTTGCCTGTTCATTATTGGTAGGTATCAAACAATATTATGACGAATTAATAACAGGAAAACCACCGCATGTTACTACTATTTTTTTATATGTACGTAATACACAGCTTTTCTACATTTGCTAAATTCAGACAAATAGTTGAAATTGCATGTACAAGTATTAATAATAGGTGGCGTAGCTACAACGAATCCTCAGTAGCAACGGCACCGTAATTGTTTTTTTTTCTTTTAAACAAATAGTAGTATCTCAGATTACAAAACATAAGCAGATGGAGCATACGCAACAAACGATGTGAAGCCGCTTTTCATTTATTGTGTGCATGATAAGTAGAAGAGGCGCTGTAGGGACATACGTACTTGTGTGCGTGTAAGATTGCCAGATGCAGGGAAAAATCTCCCGCATTTTTTTCTGTTACTTTCTATAATACTGATGTTACAAAATGGAAATGTTATTTTGCAATATGATACTTACGTGGTATTAGGATATCATACAAATTATATGCAAAGTTAATATGTTATTGTTTGATTTATCACACAAAGGGAAAAATATTTTATTAAGATATTTTACAATTGAAAAACTTGGATAATTCAGAATATTGATTACAATCACAGTTACACAATATCTTAATAACCTATACATCGAGTATTCGTTTCTGATTTTGATATGTAGCGCAATCGCACCATCAAATACTATTCTATTTTTATTAAATTAACTTTGTAATCAATTCCATAGCATTGACAATCATCTTCTAATTAAACGAAAATTCTTTGGTTCACAATGAAACTCATTAGAACCTGTGAAGTTATATAATACATTATATATATTTTTTTTTATTTCATTGACACATTTTCTTTCAAAATCATTCTGTTCATGACATGTGCATACAACAATGAAAGTTCTCTGTATCTATAGGGCTACATTTTCTTTTGTGTACATAATGGCTATAAGACATTGGTTTGAGAATGTATGATTAGGTAAATCTGAGTTACCTTAAAAAACAATCTTGGACCACTGTAAATGGACCAGCATGTATGTGTATGCATGCATTATTTAATTTCTATAGAAAGGTATAAATTAATCGATCTCCTATCACCCATGCGTATTTACCTAATTTAAGGAAACTAATTTCGATATAAACTGGCAACACATACGAATTTATGTCGAGGTTTTGTGTTCCGAGTGAATTGCAAATAATATTGTGTAAATAAATTACAAAACAGTTAAATAATCAATAGTTCCCTGTAAAAGATAATCCCTCATATTTTTTTTTGTTTTTGGGAACAACTTTTACAATGTTTAAAGAGACAAAATGGCATTTTTAAACATAAAATAACTAATCACTCCTGACGTGCAAACAATGCGACGGTGTGCTCAGTACTGACGCTACTTTGTATTCGCTTTTGAATGTGTATTTGCTTTGTTGGCTTCACTTTGTTTTGTAATCTGAGAGTAAAACATTCCCAAAAATATATGGACATCGTGTACGTTAGCCGTACATTACAGTGGGTTATGTCATAATAAAAAAATATGGTGGCGTGGCTATATTACATGACACGATAATCTTTCATTGTTCTAAAAATATAATAATTTTACAGACCTCACTCACTTTTTGACTTTTAAGAACCATTTTATAATATACATGTAATATACCGCGGTGCGGAATTTACTTTGTGTAATGTATACCATAGGATACACGTGCAGTGACTTCAATTCAGGCACACGTTAACTAAATTAATTTTTAATACAGCCAAACAACAAACAGCAAATTTATGTGCAGCTATATATTCGTTATCAGTAAAAAGGACAAAACATTTTATTTTACGTGATATCAAATTAAAAATATCATTATTTCATAAGTTAGTAAATTACTTGAAATCGTCAAATTGATTTAACACTGACTCAATAAGTCAGATGCCCTTACGAAGAATAAGTTAAAAATTGTAAGGGCTTCTCAATTTAAAAAGTCAGTATCGACCATTTGATGATTTTGGAGTGTATGCATTAGCAGGATGACATAAGGCGCTCTAAACTAAATTTAAAATCGAAAGAGACTGAAATTAAATTAGTTTGCGTTTGTCGAAATCGACGCCAGTACCTACCCAACCGTCTGTCGTATAGATAGTGAAATTATTTGTATGGCAGAAAGCAATTCTTCTCGTAATCGCTAGGTGCGCTGCACAATTTACCTTACTCGAATATTGTAAACTCAGGTACATAAATGTCCTTTACATTGTGGTGTCGAGTAATGAACAGGTCAAAAAGGAATTTGGGGGATTTTCATAGTTTTAAATGGTGCGACGTTTAACAGGGGAAGGCGAAAATTGAATGACCAAAAGTCTATGAAGCTAGTTTTCACTTTGTTATGTTGTGAGTTTTTAATTAAATGTGAAAATCTCCATTTCTTTATTTTTATAGATCTATAATTTCATAGGTCACTAGATATTGTAAAAAATTAGAAATAAAACCATTGTACTGGTAAACAGTTTGGGGTTTTAACGCCTTTTCAAACATTTTCGGATGTTACCAAATAAATATTAATAAATCGTAATTGTATCTAGAATTTTATATAACTATAGTCAAGTTACTATAGGCAGAGGTATAACAGACAACTCTCAAACAACAATCTGAAAGCAAGTATAGATATAAAATGTCATAAATAATTAGCATAAATTTGTGATAATTTTTGCGATAATAAATACACAAAAATCTCG